CTACTATATATATATATATATATATATATATATATATATATATGTGTGTGTATATCATACGTGTACGTGGCAAGTGATAAATATCATGAATGCACAAAAATAATGCTGAAGACTGTATAAAAAATACTATACGGCTACATATAGAAAATAACGCACTTTTGAAATATTCAAAGGCGTGCTCTGATTTTTTCTTCGTTTTGTATTAAGTTTAGCTTTTGTAAGAAGGCGTAGAGCTCGGTAATGTATTCTTTAGGATACGTATAGAAATGGGCAACATGCGGCGATTCCTCGAATATCTTTACATATGTCTGAAAAAATAATTAGATATGTTTATTATGTGATTGTCTTGACAAATCAGCATATATCTTACCTTTACTCCTAAAGATTCCCAGGTATCGCGCAAAATTAAGTTACTGGTTACAGCTCCAACAGGATCAGTTTTGCTCACAAATAGTAACGCTGGTACACGTATTATACTGGCAGTATGAAATACCTGACTGGATCGAATATAATATTGCGTCGCTTGTTGATGAAATGTCTTCATATGATATCTGAAAGTTATTTAATATTAATTAAGGAGAATCATTTTTATTACAGAATTATTGGTCTTCTCCTCTTTGTTGCTTACTCCACATATTTCCGTAGCATAGACTGAAGCATCATATTTTTCGGGAATACCGCGCGAGGAAAACCTATCGCAATTTGACTAACATCAGCTATACTATCCCATACTTGTCCGACAATTCTGTCTGCAATGTTAGGATATTTGTCCTTGTTGCTTTGTATCAAATCCAAAGCCTCACCCCACATGTAAGCACCTACTGAAAATCCATGTAACAAAATTTGTTGGTAACTTTCATTTTGCTTTAAGAAAGTTAACAAATCTTCCGCCACTAACTGAAAATAAATGTCATTTGTAATGGATTGAGATCTTAGGTGATTTACCAATAGAAATTTAAATAGAATCATATTTATAATTTTATATACCATGTATTTTGAAAAATTAGGTTTTTAGAATATATTGTTCATATTACAGGATAAAATTGTAAATCATATTACAAATTTTCTAAAGCCAGTTTAAAACGTGATTATACACGTACTTACTCTAGAACCTTTTACAGGCCACATAAGTTGCCATGGTGTAAGAGATACCACTGCCACGTCGAAACCCTGTTCCATGTACAAGTTAACAAACTTCATCACATGTCGTCGCTTTGATAAGAGCCAAGTAAGAATAACTAATAAAGGACGGTTGTTTGTCACATTGATTTGTGTGACATTTTTAGACGACACGATACGATTGTCCTGCGAGAGAAATTCTATATTCTTTGAGACATGATGCGAGGACAACATACGTGTTAATCGTTCTATACTCTGAAAGAAACAGTAGATATGAAAAAAAGTGTACATCTGATATATATTGCTTTTAAATAACACTGCAACAAAAGATAAAAGAATATTTACTGAATATTGATTATGTTTTAACAACTGCGATTTCGCATATAAGCTGATCTGTCTTGCCGAGAAGACATTGCACAAAGCCTTGACCATCATCGTGACACAAAAAGTCTTCCTGTCTCTCTTGCTTATTTTTTTATAATTATATATTCTAAAAAATTATTAAATCAGTAATTAAATAAATTAAATTATTAATTCAATAATTAATAAATCAATAATTCAAAAAATATTAAATATAAGATATGAGAAAATAAGAAAATCACTTCCTGTGTCACTCACTTAAAGATTTCACCCAGTAGGCGAACTTAGATGAACACAGACGAACAGCACTGCGTGTTTATTACTCCAGTGATTCTACCGACTCCACATAATGAACGATACGTTAGGATTGGCTTGTCGATTATTTCTCATATAATTATCTTATCTCCCACCTTCGCACTTTCCCCCTCTCTCTCTCTCTCTCTCTCTTTCTCTTTCGTGCCGTTTCGAAAGGATCAAATTCCACTCTGTCAGACAAGTTGTATCTTTTGTCTCGGAAATAAACAGCAGGCTTCTCAGTTATTGGAACAGAGCTGCGATCGATGCTACCATTCGTGACTTGTGGATGACACGACGTCGACTGCTGGATCACAAAATTATACACACTATTAAACACGCATATAATGACATACATATAATGATAGGAAATATACCAACGTGCAATTTATCGCTAAAAATTCGTCTAAAGTCCGAAGTTCCTCTAGATAAAACAACACAAGAGTTCAAGCGAAATTATCCGTCAAAATACAATAGTATACAAAGGTATTAAGCCCCGATGGCCCTCGATGTTCGTATAGAATGAATCTCGTTTGGCGCGATAGATGAGGCCGCGTGAAATCTTTCTGCACACGTCCGCCGAGACACGAAACCGCAATGTATGACGTATGTATGTGTCGCATATACACGTACACGTCCCTGCGACCGGATTCCCCTATTTTTTTTTAAGGGGATGCATGAACGCGCGCGCGCATTTCCGCGTTTGCGCTCGCGAGCACGACTAAGTACATTCATTATGAAATAAAGAAAACGAATTTATTACAATTCAATGCGTAATCTTGTCTCTTTAAAAAAGATCGAAAGAAAACAACTTATTTTAACTTATTCTCTATCTTTTTTTTTCTAATTCTTAGAATTAAAAAGAGATGAAGAATAAGTGAATCAGATTAAAATTAATCAGCATTGATAGAAATAGACATTATTTTCTTTTATTCGTAATTATGAATAGTAAGTTAACAAAAAATATTATAAATGAAGAATGATAACTTTGAAAAATGAGAAAAAATTGATTTTCTTATTATTCTACCTTCTTCCCCTCGGCGAAAATCACTGTGTTCCTTTGTGGATTATATGTAAATTTGATCTGTTCATACAATATTCATAAAATATTGACGTAAGTCACGTCAGTCACAACATCTGTTATAAATAATAATTAATATGTATAAGAATACATGTTTTTATATCTAAGAAATCATATCCAAAAGGATTAAAAATTGTTATTACTTATGCAATCTACACCTACAAAAATGAAACAAAAAACTGAGTAATCATCGATATTAATCATCGGTATCAGTATTATTATTAAAAAAAATTTCTATAATCTACTCGTAGTTTGCCTAGATTTATGCAAAATATTTATAGATAATTATAGATAATTATCTATAATTATCTAGATTTATGCAAAATATTTATAGATAATTATAGATAATTATCTATAATTATCTATAAATATCTTGCATAAATCTAAACAAACGAGTATGACCGCTACATAATATATACATAAATATATATATATTACTTTTACTATCTATGTTATATCCCGGTTATATTCGTGGTTTGTTGGTGGACTCAGATATATATAACTGATTAGTAACTAATGTTTAAATATAACTTTTGAAAATTTAAATAAATTTATTTTAATCATGTCATAAATATGTAAAATATTACAGTAAATATAATCATGTCCATACTTTTCGTATTCCCATCAATATATAATATTACATGATATCTTCGAACTCTTGAAATGTTACGAATGTTTAAAAACTTAACATGAAAAATTAATAGACAAAAATATTTATATTTTAATTCAATATACTTTATAATTACATTCATAAACAAGTAGTTATCAGGCAGGAAAATTGTTTTATTAATTTATATATAATAATCTTTTTAGTTTAAATTTATATAAATTCCAAATAAAAAGATTATTAGATACCAAAGATTCTATCTGATCGAGAAACGCCTAGATCATCAATTCGTTTTTCATAAAAAATGATATAAAGATTAAATAAAGATTTATATTTATATTAATGCAATATTATTTAATCTCTCGCTCTATAAGTCTTCTGTAATTCAATGGAAAATTTCAACTCATTTTATTACATAAAGATATCACGTATGTAATACACACATTTTCCTATAATAAAATCATTGATACAAATTAATGTACGAAAAAATTTGCATAAAAAAACCGCCATATGCCTGAGAGAACTTGTTCCCGTGCATACTCTTCCGCAAAGCTGAACGAATGACAGGGCAAAACGAAGAAAGCAACGGAGAGCTTCTCGCGACGAGCGCGAACCGACTGTCTTGATCGTTACGTGTTGCGCCGGGGTCAATGGTCGCGAAGGAAAGGAAAGCAATTGTTGAAATTTATTCGTCACGTCTCGCGACTATGATACACCCCCCCCCGATTGATATTCGCATTAATTCAACGGATATGACGAATTTTTCCTTCCCCCTCCCCCCCCCCCCCCCACCTCCCACACTCGCGCAAATAAAATAGGTACATTTTGCTGAACGTGTGTAATAACGGTTGGAGACCTATTCGTTTTTTACCTGCAATTTTACTTACAGCGACTACGGTCGACGTTTCGCGATCCACCAGACTCGACGAGCCGACTGACCAGTCAGCCAGGCAACCGAGCAACTTTTGTCGCATGCCCGAGTTACTTAACGCACGTGAACGCGGCGATCGCGTGCGTACATTTTGCACTTGCGCGCACTTATCGCTGCGTGTCTCGCGCATGGCGCCTCTTCAGACCGTGATGTCAGCTTCCACTTGCAACGTTTCTATAAATGAATCCTCAAGGTCCTGAGTCATTAATGACACTGTGATTTCAGATGCCATTGATGTTGTACACACAAAGAGATATGTCCATCTGTTAAACACACTGTTTTTATTCTTCACAAGAGGACTGGCTATTAATGTAAGATTATATAAAAGCTTACCTTCTTCATGTATAGTTCAACTGAAAGGTAGCAGGAGTTTAGAAATTGTTTATCATTTTTTGCTATATATTATTTGCTTTCTTGCTACGCGCATTTCTAAGCCGTATCTCGAAATTCAGAAATTTTGATCGTTAATCTGCAATGTGAAATGTGTCATGAATCGATGAAATGAACATTTTGATTTTTATTATTCTGAAGATAAAATATTTTGGAAGTAATTTTCAAATCATTACACATCGCAATAAATACAAATCATTTAGTGGCAAACGATCAGCCTGAAAATTCATTGATGTCCATTTTCAATGCAGATTAACTTTAATCTCAGTTTTATTTACTTTTAATTTTTTTATAATTTTAAAGGTCAAAAAAAGTAAATTAAATAACAATTAAAATTATTATATAGACATTGATAAAAATAGACATGACTGGAAGTCTTAGTGATCTTTTTGTATATAAAATATTACATTATTTTACATTATTATTTGTTTTAATAATTCATTTAATGGCACATGACGAAATACATTGCACACATATCCCAGATAAAAGCATCTTGTGTGCCACTTAACCATGCATCAATGCGTAAAGGACTGTATTAATAACTTTAATAAACTCCCGACAGGACTCAATTGATACGCTCGCGTGCAAAGAAGCGCTTCTACATCAAGATGACCAGCTGTTACATTAAAATAGCCGGTACATGGCATTAATGTATAGTAAATAAATATCAAATAAATATCAAATAAATATCAAGTTCACGTCACTTTCATAAAAAAAAATCACAATCGATACAACATTAATGAAATCACAGTAAAATGATAATGATAATGAAAGTTGCGAAAAATACAAATAAATTTATATTTTTCGCAATAGTTTCCTTTAAGATCTATAAATACTTATAAATATCAATAATATATTAAATTAATAATCAATTTAATATGAATTTGTAACTTCAACCTCGATTAATGCTATATGTCAAAATCAAATAATAATCGACGCATAGTTAAAAGAAACAGAATATATATGTAATATGTAATATATGTAAATATATATAAAATTCACAAAATAAATCTTTATTAAGTAGATTGCAAATGTTATATATAAACGTAAAAAAATCCTATTAAGAAAAAATACTCTATCTTTAAAAGTTGGAAATAAACTGAATGAGAAATGTAATGATAACGGCAATAATTAGGCTGCTTTCCAATATTCATTGCTGGCACTGAAAATCTATAATACGTGACATGAACTATATATTTTCAGTACTGACAGTGAATATTGGAACGCAATCTCAATAACCCACTGATCGTTTGCATTATTCTAATCTGTTGTAAAAAAATCTGTTGATAAAAGTTACTATATATGTAGTCCTTTAATGATAAAACTATAATATATAATCATCTTGATCAATAAAATGTCTAATCGATAAATCGATATTTTTAATTCAATATATATTGAATATTTATCAATCAAAATACTTATATCATGTTTTTAAATGTTCTTATGCACAAGTTTTTATATCGTAACAGACTCAGTGCATGTCTATCGAAATTGCTATAATACAATAAAGGCTCTAAGGCTTCAACTTTCTATATACTGTCTGTAGCAGTTTAAAGGATTCGGCACGTTGATCGACCTTTTACAATTAAGGAATTGCAAGCTTTTTAACCGCAAGAATTTGATCGATTTCTTATCTTTTGTGTTCAAGTATTTTAAATATTTATAATCTATTAAGTCAAATATAATTCAAATAATCCTAATAGATCAAAATAAAGGTCAACGAATAGAAATGACTTGGGACACATATATAAGTGTTTGTAGTAGCCACGTGAAGGATTTTATTACAGGTTTCGTACGCTATTTAAATATTAAACGATACCTATGTGTAAATTACGCTTGGATACGACATCGACATAGACTTGTTGGAACATCGTTACATTAGTGACAAAATACCGAATAGCGTAAGTAACGTATATGTAAATGTAGTAATCGGTATATAATGATTATTCTAAGTTTCCCCTTACGAAAGAAGTGCTAGAAACACATTTGGTCTAAACGAAGGCTCTTGACTCGGATCTTTGTCTCATATTTCTACGCTACATATATCTGCTCTGCAACCTAAACAGATTCCGATCTCTGCGAAATGCAGAAAAGCCATTGTCCCTATGTATACAAGAGTACAGCTTTAACGACGTGATCTTTTTTTTATCATACGCGTCGCGGGAGAGCCAGATTTAGCTAGTAACTTATTTACAATTCACAGAGACAGTTGATTGCATCGCACATACACTCATTGATTTAAGACTATTGCCATAAATATGTTTCATTTACTTGCGATGTTAAACGCAACGACATAATTACGCGGAAGATTTTGTATTGCACACGATGTAAAGTAGCAATGATGATAATTAGTCCTTTTCTCATTACAGCCAATATCTGATATATCACCCGTAACTCAGCAGTATTTTTTATAAGCAGTATTTTTTATAATTATAAATAATAAATTATTTAAGTGTACATTATATAAAACATACCTATGTATGTTTATATATAAATAATTTTTATGCAGTTTGTTCTAGTTTAACATAAGAAATTCAATCGTATAAGTTAATCGTCGACAAGAAGTCACAGAAATTGTATCAAAACAGATATAAAAAAAATAAAAATCGTCATCGAAAATTCATGAAAATTCTTATCCTTCATCAAATAGATACACAAGAAATGCAAAATGCAAAATATTAAATATACTGTGCGTATGGCATATTAATAATTTAAATAAGATATGCATTCGAATACATATATATGTATATATAATATTGATTCCAATAATTCGCGTGAATAGATAAGTTTTTTTTTCATATAAATACACACGCGCGCATACACACATACATCACATAGGAAATAAAATACACACACATATATATATACACACACACACACACACACACACACACACACACACACACACACAAC